GTAATGTTTTTGTTGTTATTCAGTCCACACCATTTTCTAATCTCCATTAGAATTTCTCCTTTGATTCAGGGTTTACTTAAAAATGTATTTCTTAATTTACAAACAGGAATTTAATGTCTATTCTTAGAGTATTTATTTCTAACGAGACTCTAATGTAGCTAACTCTCCATGAGTCCAGCCCACTGACATTTGTTGAGACTTAGTTTGTGGTCCATCTGCTCGTTTTTAAAAAAATAGTTTTGTGATTTTTAAGAAAGTGTTTTCAACATCTGTTATGTGTCCTCTTCTGTATTTGTGCATTAGGCCAATTTTGTGATCATTCTGCCCTATCGGTTACTGAACAATGGATCTGTCTCTCCTTGTACTTCCGTCAATTCCCATATGATACAGATTCAAGGCGCACCCTTTGGTCTATATATATTTAAAACTAGTATGACTTCTAGGTAAAAGTGGCCCTTCATTATATAATTAAGTGACTTTACTTCCAATAATATTTTGTGTGTGTGTTAGGTTTCATCTGATATTTACATAATGATCTCAGTTTGGGGCGTCTGGTGGCTCAGTTGATTGAGCATCCGATTCAATTTTGGCTCATCTTGATCCCAGGATCATGGGATGGGGCCCTTGTTGGACTCTGCACTGAGGGTGAAGCTCTACTGAAGACTCTCTCTCTCCCTCTGCCTCTCTTTCTCTCTAAAATTAAAAAAAATTTAATTTTTAAAAATTAAAAATGCTTTCTATAGCTGAAATTTAGAGGTTTCCCTCATGAACGGGTATATGTTATATTTTATTTTTATCTACACAATATTTATTTTGTCACTGGAGCATATGCTGTTTTTGCCTTTGACCTTCTTCATACTGTCTCTATTCTGTTTGTACTTGCCCTAGAAATGTGAGCATGCGTAGTCAACCCCACAAATCCGAATGTGATCAAATCCTTCCCCTCCTCCTGGGCAATCCCTGAGTCTTGGAATATTTTAAATTTGCTTACCTCTCTCCTGAATTAAATGTTATTGTCTCCATTTTTAAGTTCATCTTGTTTTGATTTTTTTAATTTATTTTTTTTTTTTTAATTTCTGAGAGACAGAGACAGCATGAGCAGGAAAGGGTTAGAGAGAGAGGGAGACACAGAATCTGAAACAAGCTCCAGGCTCTGAGCTGTCAGCACAGAACCCGACGCGGGGCTCAAACCCACAAACCTTGAGATCATAACCTGAGCCAAAGTCGGACACTTAACCGACTGAGCCACCCAGGTGCCCCCATCTTTTTTTGATTTTTAATCCTCTTGGCATTATTACCACTATTTTATTTAGTCAATATTAATTTACATTTGCTCATGTTTACCACTTTCTCCATTCTCTGTACTTCTCTTAAACTTACCCTTCATGACCAGTTTCTCTCTACCTAAAGTACATTCTTTAGAATTTCCTTTAGTGAGATTGTGTTGCTGACAGATTCTCTTCTCTTAGTTCTCATTTGCCTATAAGTGAAAGAAATTCACCCTCATTTTTGAAAGATGTTTCTGCTGTGCATATATTTCTAGGCTGATGAGATTTTCTTAAAGCAAGTGAATGTGTCTTTCTTCTTCTCGCCTCTGTTGATATTGTTAGAAGTCAGGTGTCATTCCATCTGCTATCATGTTTAGGTAATCTTTTTTTTTTTTTTTTGGTACTCTGAACAACTTCAGATGTAAGGCTGCAACTTTAGTAGATGTGAATCTATTCACATCAGTCATGCCTGGGATTTGCTAAGCTTCTTGACTCTGTGCGTCTACTCCTGAGTCTGAAAAAGTCTCACTATTATATTTTCAACGATTGCTCTGTTCTCTCCCCTCGGCTCTCAGAACTTGGACCAAATGCTGACCAGAGCTTCTCACCTCACTCCTGCTATGTTTTCCCTTCCAGCTGTGTTTTCCATTATTTTCTCTCTCCATCATGTTCTGATTTGTCTTACAATTCACAAATTTTCTCTTTTGCTCTGTTCATTTTCCTGCCACTTATATCCATATGATTTTCATCTCCAGAAGTTCTGTTTGGTTATTTTCTGAATTCGGCATGCCACATTTTATTGCCTTTTCCCAGCAGTAAGCTCGGGTTTGCCAATTGTCCGTATTTTATGAACTATAAGGTGCACGTTTTATTTTTTACATTGTAACATCTCTGAAATAGTTATATGTATGAAAACCAATGTTGTTTTATCATTACTATCAGCCAAAAAGCACCCATAGAGAGATCATTAATATGCACACAAAATGGAAGTAAGAAATTGGTGTACAAGGGAAAGAAGCATTTGTAAGATCACTATAAAGCAGGTATGAGAGGTTTCTTTTCTCCACTTAAGATACCGGGTATGGGGTACGGGAGTGCCATTTAATTCAGGTTCAGTACACTACCACACTCTAAGATGGACGTGCCCTCGCCCAGGACACAGGGGTGTGGGGGAGGACTGGCCATGACAGGGGCCGCGCTCCTCAGACCCTTGCACCGCACCCTGCAGCTACCCCAGGACACGGCACTGCTGTTGCTTCACTACGTGCCTTCATTTCCTCTCGCTGACTAACAAGTCACCGCAAACCCAGCACCTGGGACGTACCCGTCCAGCCCATCACAGCTCGGCGAGCCGGGAGTCTGGGTGTGGCATGGCCGGATTCTGTGTTGAGGGTCCCATGAGGCTGACATCTGAGGCTTGGGGTCCTCTTCGTGGCTCTTGTGATTGTGAGCAGAATTCGCAGCCTTGCAGCTGTAAAACTCCTGGAGGCTGCAGGGCCGCCTGGGCGGCTCAGTCGGTTAAGTGTCCGACTTTGGCTCAGGTCGTGATCTCATGAGTTCATGAGTTCAAGTCCCACATCGGACTCTGTGCTGACAGCTCAGAGCCTGGAGCCTGCTTTGGATTCTGTGTCTCCCTCTCTCTCTGCCCCTCCCCTGCTCACACTCCGTCTCTCTCTCTCAAAATTAATAAACATTAAAAAAAAAAACCTCACAAAGTCTGCATCTTCAAGGTCAATGGGAGAATGCCTCTCTGACACAAACATTTGTAAAGAGTTCACCAGATGAGGTCAGGTCCACCCAGGATAATCTCCCTTTTCTTTCAGTCAGAGTCAACTGATTAGTGACTTACCGATGGGGGTGATAGTCTAGCCCATTTTCTCTGGTCCTGCCCATTCTCAGGGGAGGGGACGTACAGCATGTTTACACCGGGCAGCAGGGGTCTTAAGGATCACTTGAAGTTTCGCCTTCAAGTCTGTCCTAGAAGGAACATCTCAAGGCTTTTGTCTGGCTCTTTCTACCTTCACTCCCCAGGCTTTGGAGACCATGCATGGGTCATACCAGTTTGTGAGTATGTTTATTCCCATGTATACTTGCTGCCTGTGGGGCTAACCACAGGTTAGATGCAGGGACCGCCGGGTCCACTGAGAGACAGTCCCAGGTCAAGATGTCATTTGCCAGCCAGGGTGCCATGGCGCCATGCTGACTGGTGGACCGTTGGGGGGTGGGTGGGGGGGACCATAGCGGTTTCCTGGAATCAGCAGCGATGACCCCTGGCATTGGGTGTGTCCAGCGCTACCTCCCGGCAGCAGGCGCCCCAAGCGGCAGTTTCCTTCCATGCTCCGTGGACCAGCCCTGTGTTCCAGCCTTCCGGGTTCAGGGACCCCAATCCCTTCCATTTGTCTCCCAACCCCCAGAAGCCTAACTGCTCCTTGCAGTTGCTGCCTCTGTGGTACCTCACTGTGTGCTTTTTGCCTTTTTAGTCCTCTGATGTCTGTTTCATTAGTTCTCTGTTTTCAAACATCTTTACGGTAAGGACGAACCCAAAGAACAGCGTGCTAAGTAACATATGCCAGTCACAGAAGGACACATACTGTGTGATTCTACTTATACGACGAATCAAAAACAGTCACACTGAGGGGCACCCGGGGGGCTCAGTTGGTCAAGCGTCTGACTCTTGGTTGTGGCTCAGGTCATGATCTCATGGTTGTGGCATCGAGCCCCGTGTCGGGCTGTACTCTGGGCATGGAGCCTGCTTGGGATTCTCTCTCTTTCTCTCCCTCTGCCCCTCCCCTGCTTGTGCATGCTCTCTTTCTCTCAAAATAAATAAACTTTTAAAACTAAGTAAAACAGTCAAAGTGACAGAAGCAGAGAATGGAATGTGGTTGTGGGGGATGGGAGAGGAGGAGACATGGGGAGATGTCAGGCCCGGGACATCAAGTTTCAGTTATGCCAGATGAGCTGGTGCACAGCATTGTGCCCGTAGTGAGCAAGATGGCATCGGGCACTTAAAAATTGTTAAAGTGTTTAGTGTCATGTTTAGTGTTCTTACCACAAATACAAAAAAGAGGCACAAAGAAGCTTCTGGAAGTAATGGCTATATCAGTTCCCTTGATTGTGGTTTCACAGGTGTACACATATATCCCAAGTCGTCAAACTGTATACATTTTGATAGGTACATATCGGTTGTACCTAAACAAAGCTGTTTAAAGATCAGTCAATAAACTAAGATGTGTCCGTTAAAAATAACTGAGACCGCTCCTGTTTTCCCGACTGGAGCCAGGCCCACGTCCGAAGTTTCCTGGGCACTAGCCCGGGTAGGCCTGGTCAGGAAGCCACCACGCTGCCGAAATGCGGCCGCGCACACTGCGCCCCTGGGGCGTGAAGCTCACAACCGCGACGCCGTGACGCCGACCGTCCCGCGTTGGGGGGTGACCCGTCGCGGACGGCGAGGGGCCCCACCCTGTGCAGCCCCGCCGAGAGGGGGCGCCCGTGACCCCGCCAGGCCGCGGTGTGCCCCGGGGTGGGCGGCGCAGTTGAGCGCGCAAAGTGCTGTGCTCGGTACTGCACTCCGAGCCCCGAGGCCGGTTTCGCTGCGCGAGCTTGCAGCCTTGTGCCCCCCACCCCTGCGCCGCCCCCACGTGCCTCTCACTCGGGGGTGTTGAGCCGGTTCTGGCGCAGGAGCATCAGTGACCCCGCGGGGCCGCAGCTCGCCGTCCGGAGCTGAGCGCTTACCTGGCCCGCAGCCCCCGCGGCGGCCGGAGGGCCACACAGCGCCCCGGAGCGTGGCCTCGGGTCCTCCCGCACTGCCCCTGGAAGACAGTGGAAACGGGTTTTACCCTAGAAAATCAAAACTAATATTCATGCCTTTCTCGGCCTTAATCTACTTATAACTACTGGCAGACTGTATTTTTCAGAGGGGATCTGATTTATCATGGGTACACGTTTAAATCAAAACATATTTACATTGATTCGTAGAAATTAAACACATGTTGTATCTAAGAATCCTGCATCTCCAAAGAAACAATAATTATTAGCAAATTTGTGGTGGTAAGATTATAATGAAAGGCCACAAATAAATTATATAATTTTTCACGAATTCAACTCCTGTGTGTCGGATCATCGCTTTCTTTTTCACACAAGTGTTACACCTAAATAAAACAACGCATTTTTGGAAGGCCCCAGGAGATTTCAGAAATGCGCCATGCAGAGGAGGCTGCTATTCGTGCCAGCGCGGTCCCTCTCCGGGAGCCAACCTCCATTGCTCCTCACGGCCCTGGTGTGCACTTCTCAACCTAAGTTATCTGCCTAAGAACATGGCCAGGTATAGAACAGATATTAGTCATACTTAAAACTTGTATCATTATATCAACATATTATTTATTTAGATGGAATACAGTACCCAACTATGAGACTTTTTCCCCAAAGAAACTTTTTTTCTTTTTTTAAGTAGACTCCATTCCCACTGTGTGGCTTGAACTCACCACCCTGAGATCCAGAGTCACAGGGTCTACCAACTCAGCCAGCCAGCTGCCCCTCCTCAAAGTATGGAATTTTAAGGAAATTCCATACTTACCATCCACGAGTTGTACTAATTTTAAATATAATATATTCAAAATGAAGTCATAAAGTAGGATTATAGTTCCATTTAAACATCAGAGATGAGAAAGCACAGATTTAGACTCCCTCTAACAAGCATACCTTTTAGCAATTGACATTGCCAGAAATGTACTTTTCAGCTATAAATCCTTAACGTGATTGCTTGATAGTCAAACAAGGAGGTGTGTTCAGAAATGTCACAGAACACTGCACTGGATTTCATTACTCTGCAGCATTCAGAGGCAAAATAATGGTAAAAATAAAAATCTAGGTTAAAATGTTAACTTCATAAAGCACGATGGTAATATATGGCCTTTCCTTTTTAGACTCCTAAAAAATGTCGAACCCATCAAGACTCCCACCAGTGAATCTTTTGGCGCTTCAAAGCTCCCCACCCAGTGGTGCTGTGTAGCGGGCAAGACTGAGGCCTTGACTTCGCCAGAGCACCTGCCCCTGGGTCACCACCACCTGTGTGCTCCACGTCTCTCACCCTACACTCAGTGCCTCCTTATACCTCTCTTGAATTAGAACCTATCCTGCTTCTCATCTTCACAAGGGCACTCGAGTTCTCTGTAACTGCTTCATCTACCTTCTGTAAAAAAAAAAAAGCCAACCCACAAATATTTGTTGAACAGCCACTGCTTTCTAGAGTTTGCCTATGTTGAGTTCCTTATTAGCCTGCTCTCTGCCTTCCAGAATATTCATCAGCTGCTGCAAACCCATCTTGATCCAATCCAGTGTGAGCCACGGAACTGTGCAACAAACGGAATGGGGAGTTTGGACACATAGAAGGTCCCCTAAGTGATTTGTATAAGAAATGGCCTCTGTTAAGAACACAGACTATCCCTTCATTAAAGGTAACATTCAGTGCTTATTTTTATTGAATTCTCATATCATCAATACTTTCATAGTGAAAGAAAATTTAAGGAATTCATATATTAGAGAGTATGACAGATTCTTAGCTTCCTGGTTCATGGGGAAATGTCCAGGAAATCTTAACGGAAGAAAAGGTTAATAAATCCTTGAAAATGGCTTACAGGGGCGCCTGGGTGGCTTAGTCGGTTAAGCGTCCGACTTTTGCTTAGGTCATGATCTCGCGGTTCGTGGGTTCGGGCCCCGCGTCGGGCTCTGTGCTGACTGCCAGCTCAGAGCCTGGAGCCTGTTTCAGAGTCTGTCACTCCCTCTCTCTCTGACCCTCCCCTGCTCACGCTGTCTCTCTATCTCCTAGAAATAAATAAAAAATATTTAAAAAAAAAAATGGCTTACAGCAGGATCCCCCAAGAGCCAAAGGTGGAGGACGATCCCTGGCATCCCGATGCAGGTGTGAGTGGGCCTCCCTGGTGTCCCCCCAGCCTCACGTGGTCCCCCCACATTACTTCACACAGATAGGGACAGGCAGACACGCATTGCCTCAACCCTAACCAGCCTGAGCCCTAGCGACTTCCGGATGGCCCGGGCGGCCCTGCCCCGTGTTGCCACCCCCGGTAGCGTTCCAACACCAGGAAGTGATGGGTTTACCAAATTTAAAAGTTTTACCCATTACCAAAATATTTCTATGAACCATTTCATGCTACTGAAAAAAGGTGGTTCCACTTCAAGGTTTTACTGTGCAAGCCAGGTCTCTACAATGTGTAAAGTAAGACCGAACAAAATAGCTCTTGCAACATTTTATCAAGAGTAGACATACACACACTAACCTTGGGTTTCAGGCTGCCGTTCCCTCAACTGAGCGGTGGGCTGGCTCTCCCGTGGCCCCGTGGCCCCATGGGAGGGGGGTGCAGTAGGTCCTGCCCTAGGCAACGGTTACCCCCACACCCTTTAGATCTGAGCTCCTCACCCTTAGTCAGGTGTTCAATTTCTAACCACACGTCGGATCGGTACTTCTCTTGGGCTTTCATTTTACTAAAAGAGGCAGAAAGAAGGGAAGATGTCATTAAGCACTAAATGCTGGAGCCTGACCTGTGTTTGCATCCTATATAACCGGAATGTGGGCTAATTCAGTTAGAATCCTTAGTCAGGCCAAATTTTGTGTTTAGAGCATTCCAAATAGAAGAGATTTGACAATTGCATCAGGGTTTCATAGGGAACCAAAATCACAGCAAATAAATGAATATATATGAATATATATATATATGAATATACATATAGATAGATTTTCCATTTGATTCACATGGTTGCTTTTGAGCAAATGTGTGAACTGAGTGTCCTGAGCATAAGATGAAATACATGTCTACTCTGAAAGGCTACGCAGATGTTACTGAGACCTCTGTACATGCATCATTCTTATACTGAGAAATGTCTTTTCCTTTTCATCTTTAAAGGACACTGGCCTTGTAACTGAATCATTTGGCACATGGACAGCTTTTGGCTTTCAGTAACTCAACTTCTTGCATTGAAGTTGATCCAAATGTTAGTGGCTACAGTCGGGTGCATAAGGCTTCTGGGCACGAAAGATGGCCCTCAGAGCCAGTATTTATTCTCATCCCACTGAACGATTCTTTGGATTTATGTAGGAAACAAACATCATATTTATATTTGTACACTGGCTTGGATTTTTCCTGTTTCCTCTGCACAGTTACACCATCTCACCTACCTGGTGTGTCATCAGCTACAGTTATTGTCTATTTGTATGATTATTGTGTTATTCACTTTGCTGGAGTTTCATCTGCCCTATTTTTGTGATAAGAATGGCACTACCCAGCAAACAGAACGGGGAGAGGCATCTTTTAAAAACAACCAGATACATATTACAATATACAAAATAAACTATAAAGTATAATTAAAAATATGTGGACACCAACATCACTGGGCCTTTCACAAGTTAATGAACTCTGGGAAATAAGCAACAATTTGTAGTTGCCCTCATTCTGCTTTCATTACAAATTCTTTTTCTACCTATACAAGGTGTTGTTATAAGAGGATTTGGGTGCTTATGAATCAGGGAAATCTTACAAATAAGGGAAAAAAACAACAGAAACCTCATTCACAAATGTAACAGTTTTCAGGAGTGATGGTAGCATTTTGTGGAGATTCTGGAATCAATTAAAGCCTGTTGAAAGTGCATTTGCTAGAAGTACCTAACTGCTTTCAAAGTCCCATTTCATAGAAGAAATCTCTCTCTCTATATTTTTGAAAACTAAACTTTATGTCATAGGGAGAGACCGAGCATGTGACTTCACTGTAAGGACTTTGCAAACCAGGCCACAGATTGTTCCAGGGACGGCAGTCAGGCTTACCAGTCTCGGGTGCCTGGAGCAGCCTCGGGGGACACCCATCTGGAAGCTCGCTGTCTGCCCAGAGCCGACTCCAACGTGAGCGTGGCTGACACGTCCAGTGTATCAAATCGCTGCATCGCCCCGGCGTTTTCTACAAAGTCAGGTAAGTAGGTGTTCATTTCCATCTCCTGTTTACAGTGTTTTAAGTCACATCCAGAATAAATCGAGAAGGTGCTCAGAACTATTGCTTTTCTTGAATAGTAAACAGGAAAATTGCTTATTATTAAATTGTATTTAATTTATAAATGTATAACTTTATAAATTACATTATTTAATATTATTATTAAACTACGCTACTTGGGGGGCATAATGTGGGCATAGTATTAAAGATTCATAGGCGCACCTGGGTGGCTTGGTCAGTTAAGTGCCTGATTCTTGGTTTTGGCTCAGGTCATGATCTTGTGGTTCGTGAGTTCGAGCCCCATGTACGGCTCTGCACGGAGCCTGCTTGGGATTCTCTCTGCCTCTCATTCTGCCCCTCCCCCACTCACTCATGCCCGCTCTCTCTCTCTCAAAACAAATAAATAAATTTTGAAAAGATTCATATGATAACTCTTACTTTTATACTTAGCACCACAGTACCTGCCCCCTGCCTGCCCCTCCCTCACCCCAGCTGAAAGCAGGGCAGATTTCACATGAAACTTCATCATCTTGGTTTCCAGCCTTGCTCTGTTCCACCCTGTGAGCTTTGCTGCGCTGTGAGTAACACCCACCCTCGCTCCTGTAACCGACTTGGAATTTCTTAGACTCCACTTCTTTGGTTGTTTCTAAGGGCAAGCCCTGGGCATCCTTTTCATCTCTGATGCTAGAAAGTAGAAAATAAAAGATATGAAACGCTAACGTGGAAAAAAGAAAATCAGCCTCAGTAAGTGTAGGAGAAAAGACACACGACAGGAAATCCTGACGTAAGACCATTGAAGGAGTCGTAACGGACCTTTGTATTACCAGTGAAAACCCCTAGAGGAGCTCCCAGTGCAGATGTAGAGCCTGGGTTTGACAGAGCTCCTAGGAGGTGAGGTGGCCACGTCAACTGAAGACATACCAGCCGGGAGCAGCCTACTTCCTGGGCTCAGATGCTGTGGTTGGAGAACCCATTTATTCTTTCAACGCAAAGACAGTTTTACTGACTGAGTAAGAAAGGTCACTCTTCCAAACTTTTCATTCTTCGAGATTAGCCTAAATATTAGTGTAGGTGTTGAAATTCTACAGTACGCCCATCTGTAAAACAATTTACCTCTAAGCAATAGATACAGTTCACACAACTTAGTACCGTCACAGCATTAAGCCCCTGTTTCCAGATGACGGCCCCGTCACTGCATGGTCTCATCACTCCATGGCAAGTTCTGCGGCGGGCACATGACAATTCAGGTGTGAAAGAAAATAAAGACACACGCCAAAGTGTGTGTGGACACGGAAAAGAGATAGAAAGTTCACTCCACACAGACTTTTCTGAAATTCCTCCAGGATGCTCTTTCGTGCAAAGCAAAAACTGAATTCAAGAAATAAGGTAACGGGCGCCTGAGCGGCCCAGTCGGTTAAGCGTCGTCTCACGGTTCAGGTCATGATCTCATGGTTCGTGGGTTCAAGCCCCACATCAGGCTCTGTGCTAATAGTGCAGAGCCTGCTTGGCCCTCCCTCCCGCTCTCTGCCTCTCCTCCACTTGTACGCATGTGTGTATGTGCACACCCTTTCTCAAGATGAATAAACTTTAAAAAACAAAGAAGAAAGAAAGAACAAAGGACCCAAGAATGATGGCAGCCTAACCAGTAACTTAGACTTGAGTCTAAAATACTGTCAATGAATCATTTTCTGGATCTGACACCCCAGAACACCCCAGCACCAGGGCTGGGGTGGAACTGTCAGAGCTCTCGAGCAAACACAGGTAGAATGCAGCCTGCTCTCGACATCTGCAGTGGCCACGTGATTTCTGTGAAGGTAGCGGTTTTCACAGATCAGTGCCTTTTCTATATCACAATCAGTGCCCACCAAGAACTAAGCAAACTTCCTGAGCCGCCTGGAGAAGACGTGCCCCATAGAAGCCGGATACACAACTTTGAACATTTTAGTCACTAATGAGAGCATGAGCATCTCTCATTCTTTGCATCAGAGGACGTCACAGGTTCTCATACAGTGGACCTTGATGCTCTTCTCCTTCAGATCTTATTTCTAGAGACTTTGTTGGGCTTGACTGTGATACAAATCACACGCAATTGTACTGGGACTTGTTGAAATAAGGCTGCATCCCAAATATACTTACATGTGATACACGGTATGAAGGGCTTTTAAGAGAGGAAATACTTCCTGGTGTAGGCTTTCCCATGTGTTAATGATCAGAGAATCAAACTGGGCACAACACATGACCGAATTCGTATGGGAATCAAAAGGAAATAAGTGCCCGTGAACAAATCACAATCATAAGAGGTTAGACAATTCAGACACAAACCAAGATCTGTGCAGGGAAGAAACGTAACAGTGAAAACAGTACAGGCGTTAGGTCATGTGGTCCTGAGCACCAACTGGGTCTGGTTCCAAGGAGTTAGTGCCTAGACATGTTCTGAAACATCTCAGACCTGAACGCTGAAATGGATATTAATGCATCTATGATGCACCATTTAGTATCCTACATATATGTGTGTGTGTCTGTATATATACAATAATCATGTTGTCTATGTGCGTGTGCACAGCAGGATATAGGTATAGATCCAGATAGTTATGCTTTCCGATGCCTGCACATTGTGGACACACAGCTTTTTACTCTGTATTGTTACATACAGACCAAAAAAGTGTTAGCTTGCAGAAATTGTAATAATTTTAAGCCTCAGTCAAAACCTTAGACTTGATGAATCAGGCAAGTGAACTGAAGAATGTTTAGGAATTATAAACTTAGCTGATTTCCAAATTCATTAATTTCATGGTGTATTTTAAACATAGGATTACCTGTATTTCCAAGCACGATCTCCTGTTACAATTCGTAAAAGAAGCAAATAGAAATTTATCTTAAAAAGAGAAATACACATTTGAATACAGAAGCCCTGATATTGAGTGGAGTGCAGGCACTATTTATTAGGTATATAAGGAAAGGTGCCTGGGTTGTTGCTGGTGACTTTACAGGAAGAGAGGTGCAGACGTAGACTGCGTACCTTCCTGCGGCATCGTGTGGGGCCTCTAGTCCTTCATCCTGCAGAATGCAGGCGCTCTCTCTTCGCTCACTGTGATGCCAGTGCCCCCAGGATTTCCCTCCTGAAGACCCTGCTGGAGCAGGGAATCGGGAAAGCCTCGTTCCTAGCCCTCCCGACGGCCCAAAGAAGCCACCGCCCACAGGCCAACTGCTGCCGCCTGGGGTTGGAAGGGCCCTGCCCCCGAGTTCCAAGGCAGCTCCTGCCTGGTGGCAGTTACACAGGAAGATTCAACTGTGCAGACGTGATGGGTGCCCGCATACGATGGTGTCGGCCGAGAGGAAGGAGGACACCCTTCCCTGGGTGACAGCGTGGGAGAAACCAGGGACGGCACTGTGCTGATGCCATTGTGGCACTGGCCTGCTCAACACAGCCTTTGCATCGCGGACCTTCAGACACATACGCATATGAACCCATACATCCCGGTACATGTCCACGTGTGTGTGTGTGTGTGTGTGTGTGTGTGTACAGGGGAATAGGGATCGTAAGATTTTTAATAAGTTTTTTATTTTATCCAGCTATTTTCTTTTGGTACCCTTTAATTTTGACATAGTTTAAAACTTGCAGAAAAGTGTAAGAATAGACCAAAAGGTCCTATAAATTCTTTATCAAATTTACCATTTTAAACATTTTGCCCCATTTCCCTCATCTCTCTCTCCATAAATGTAATATGCACCTGTTTTTTTCTGACCCATTTGAAACACAGTACAAGGATAATAACCCAGAAATTCAACACGGACACATCGTTCACTAAGTCACTGACAAAAGGCGGAGGGGGGTGGGGGAACCTTTTGCTTCCAGAGGAGTAACAGTAGGATTTTTCACAAAATTTACAGAATTGAGAAAATAATGGGACAAAATCTTTGAAGTGCTCAGTGAAAATAACTACCCCTTGATCATTCCACACCCAGTGAAGGATACACGTGGGGAATGCAGGTGGTGGTCCTGGGGCCTGTGTAGGGCCGGGCGGTTACAGCTGACCCTGCCGGGTGGTGATTGGAAAGCCGTCGGGAGAACAGACCCTAACAGATCTCGTCACAAGGAAGAAACAGTCGATGAGCGTTAACTAAATATGCCGTGGGCGCCATTTCACAAGATACGTGAGTCACGTCATCGTGCTCGCTCCACACCACAGCGCTGTGTCCGTTCTAACTCAGTAAAACTGGGGGGGAAACTGAAGGTGGTGAAAATGTTTCACACAGACAAAAAAGTTAAAGAATATTTTTCCACCGATCCACCCTAAAAGAAATGCTAGGGGCAGCTGGGTGGATCTGGTTGAGCATCCGACTTAGGCTCAGGTCATGATCTCGTGTTCGTGAGTTCAAGTCCCACATCAGGCTCGCTGCTGTCAGACTATCAGTGCAGAGCCCACTTCAGATCCTCCGTCCCCCTCTCTGTACCCTCCCCCACGGACAGCACAGTGCCGTCCCTGGTTTCTCCCATGCTGTCACCCAGGGAAGGGTGTCCTCCCCCTCTCCCAAAACTAAATAAATAAATAAAAAATAAAAATGAAAAAATAAAAGAAATGCTAAAGGGAATTTGTGAGTCATAAGGGGAAAGAATCACAGATGGGAATGTGGTAATTAACGCAGGAGAGAAGAAGAAAAAGCAGAAAGGACAATATGTGGATAGATCTACTATTTTATGTAACATTGACTATTTAAACAGCAACACCAATATGGGCTTTAAAATACGCGTGGAAATAAAAGAAATGACAACGTCAGGAGCAGCAGAGAGGGGTTAAATGGAGCTGATGTTTCCATGTGCTCACACTGTCAATAATTCTAAAATTCATACACATTATAAACCTAAATGTGAAATGTAAAACAATGAAACATTTAAAAGAAACTTATGAAATTATTATGACTAATTTGAGGTAGGCAAAGTGTCCCCAAATAAGATGCAGAAAATGCCAACAGTAAAGACAAACATGGGGTTAAGTTGGACAGTATTAAAATTAAGAATTGCTATTTGTCCAAAAACACCAAGAAGAGAGCAAAGAGGCTGCTATGTCTGTTAAAGGTCTATCGAATCTGTAATACATACCTACGATCTCTATGCACCTATATCTGTTCTAGGCATTTTATATATACTATAAATTGTACGTGTGTGTGTAGAGTCAGTAGAAAAAGGTAGACAGCACAACACAGCATCACCTTTATACTCATCAGAGAAATACAAATGAGAACCATAGCATGATACCACTATAAAATCACCAAAATGGTTAAATTTGAAAAGACATAACGTGCCAAGAGTCGGCGAGGATCTGAAAGATTTGGAACGTTCACACGCTGTTGTCGAGAGTGTGGATGAAACCACTTCTGTGCGCTCGGTAGCACACTCTTCTGGAGCTGAGCCTGTGCATGGCTTCCGACCCAGGAATGACGCCTCTGGGAACACAATGTAAATATCTGGGTCTGGAGACAAAACATGGGCACAAATGTCCATAGCAAATCTTTCATAGTAGCCCCAACCTAGAAACAAAAAGCATCAACCAAAAGCAGAAAACAGTTTTATAAGTATGATCTATTCAAATGAGAAACCACAGCAAAGAGAAAGAAGATATTACTGCATGGACAAATCTCTGAGCTATTTGAGAAATGCGCGTTAAATCACAACGAGACCTAATTTCGCATCTATTAAAATGGCTTAAATCTGTTTTAAAAAACTCAGCACCATGTCTGGCAATGATACAGGGCACCTAGAACTCTAGCACATTGTTGGTGGGAATGGAAAACGAGATGGCCACTCTGGAAAGCAGCTTGGCAAGTTCGAGAAGCTAAATACCCACACGCCATTTGACCAATCAAATGTATTCATTCCATATATTCGGTCTAGGTAAGTGAAAGCAGTGACTTCCACTGCTTTGTACAAATGTTTGTAGCAGCTCTCTTCAGAAATCATTGTAATCATGCTGTGATCATTTATCAGGAACTTGATAAAGCTTGACACAATACCGAGTGCAAAAAGCCAATTTCAAAATGTTATATATACTGTGTGATTGCATTTATAGGGTAATCTGTACATGTGTTAAGACTCCTACAACTATATATCCAGGAGAAAATTGGCTTATTGTTTGTAAAAATTTTTAAATAACTAAAATTAAACACTGCGAATTAAGTGGTTCCAGAAACACAAGGATTCTTCAAAGGCTGTTCATCAGATGTGCGCTTCATGCCGGTGCATCTCTGAATTCTTAAAACTTTTTTTCCCCTGCAGTTGTGGGTAAGCTTGGAATCATTTTCCATTTGATTCATTTCGGGCTCAATGAAGTCATCTCATATTTGGCCAATAGAGGATAGAAAATTCATACTTTGGGGTTTCCTTTAGCCTTGTCCAAGTGTCCCCCATTTTACTGCTCTCAAAGATCATCAAATACAAGAAAGGAAAAGACAAAGACTCTAACCTGTGCACCCACCGTATTTTAAGCAATTGTCATCAAATCTACAGAAGGGCTGGCCCACCACTAAGGAGCTTGGTTCTCTCATGACCTTCTGCTACAGCCTGACTGCCAGAAGGTCTGAGGTGAACACACTTGACCTAAGGGGGGCTCGTTTCTCCTGGTCAGGGAGGGAACAGAAGATGTGGCACAGCAAAGGACATGTGCTGTCAAGAGTTTTTCACGTGGCGCCTGGGTGGTTAAGTGTCTGACTTCGGCTTAGGTCATGATCTCATGGTTCATGAGTTCGAGCCCTGCATTGGGCATCATGATCTAGTGGTTCATGAGTTCAAGTCCCTTGATAGGCTCTATGCTGACAGCTCAGAGCCTGGAACCTGCTTCGGATTCTGTGTCTCCCTCTCTCTGTACCCATCCCTGGCTTGTGATCTGTCTCTCTCAAAATTAAATAAACATTTTTAATTTAAAAAAAGGAAAGAATTTCTCAGCCACAGGCATTCAGTTTTTCCACTCGCATTAAATAATAATCAGATATCCTGCTGGTGATATTTCTTTCCTTGAATGGTTTCAGGGAAGGAGCGACCACCCACCCCTCCCAAGACAAGTAGACACAGAGGCAGGTGTGTATCCTCAAGCCTGACCTGGAGGCTGAGAACCTGCCTCCCTCAGTCGTGTCAGAGGTGACCCTCGGTAATGGCGTTGGGTTCTAACTCCTTCCTTCTCATTTGGGACTCACAGAGAGGAGCCGCCTCTAAGGGAGCTACCACCAAGTAGCAAGCGTGTAAAAGCTCCTGCATCAAAACGGAGACACACAGACATCACCAGACCTCTCGTGCATTCGGTTGCAGTTGTAACCCCTAGAAATTACCTCTTGGGAAGAGAAGAGTCCAGCCTCGTGGTCTCCCCAGGTGATAGCTTATCAGATCTCTCCTTTCCGTAATGAAAGAAGGATTGTTACAACACAGTCATAAGTCTAGTCCCTCAAAGTGGTGTTTTCCAAGGGTCCACTGGCCCCCATGCAGGCTTGAGTTTCCTTAGCAGAATCCCAAGTCATTGTCAGTGTAGCTGCGGCCACATTCAGCTACAGCCCTGGCCTCTGGCCTCCAGGCCCTGGCATCCCACAGGCCCCTGACACACACGTCTGGCTAGTGTCTCCACCTCCTGTGGCCTTGTCACAGCCCACCCGTTTGCTGTGGTCTGTCGCCTTCTGCTTTCTGTGCTCCCGTTCAGGCCCTAGCGTCCTGTAGCCTTGCCTACGCTGACCCTCCAGTCCATGCTGCTCCTCCCCATCCCCCCCTGCTCCCTTTCCACAGAGTTTTTCACAGTCCTTCCCCCTCTCAACAATTCTTTTCTGTTCCTCTGGTCCCTCCTACTCACCCGTTCATTGATCAAAGAGGGTTTATTCAGAGAGATAATAACAAGTGTCAGCAAGGATGTGGAGAAATCGGAACACTCCCATGCGGCCGGTGGGAATGCACAAGGCTGCAGCCGCTGTAGAAGAAGGCCTGCAAGAGAGGTCTGTGGGAAGGCGGTGGGGGGAAAGCACCACAAGTCTGTCCCCCACCTGGACGACAGTTGCACTGGCAGAGTCTGTCTGATGTAATGGGAATCTGGTGTCTATTGAAGGCTTGCAACTTCCAGGAGAAGGCTCGGATGGTAAATTGCATTCAATTGTGAGCCATCTCAACTCTTAGCATAGTAGCAGCTACCCATTCCCTTCCCCTGGCCATGTGGTAGGCAGCTGTGCC